TTAGGGTTTCTATTGCTCTGAGGAGACACTGTGACCACAGCAACTCTTACAAAGGCAGAACATTTCACTGGGATGGCTTACAGTTTGAGAGGTTTAGTCCATTATTGTCACGGTGGCACATGGCGTGTAAACAGACGTGGTGCTGGCTACATCTTGATCAGAAGGCAGCAGGAAGTGAACTGAGACACTGGGCATCTCTTGAGCATAGGAGAGCTCAAGGCCCGCCCCCACAGTGACACACTTCCTCCAGCAAGGCCACACCCACTCCGACAAAGCCACACCTCCTAATAGTGCCACTCCCTTTGAGCTTATGGGGGCCAATCACATCCAAACTACCCCAACATCCTTGAATTCCTCACAGGTACTGTGCAAGTAGGAACACGTCCATCAGAAGCTGGATATCCTCTGTGTCTTTGGGAGAGGATGCCTAATGGTTGGCTGGGAGCTGGGCTTTTGTTGGGGAAGCTTCCCTTGCCAGTGCCCAGAACTTGAGTGTTTGTCTTCTAAGGAGTCTAACTTCCCAGAAGAGTGTTATCAACTCTCATCGTAGTGAAGGAAACCCATAACCTGTACACTATGGGAATGCAGTCACGAAGACTTCAGATTTCAGAGTCAAGGGATGGGGGTTTGAGAATGGTCTTTCTGTCTTTAATAGATCCAGGAAGACAGTGAGAGCGCACAAATGCTAGAGAGAGCTGGAAACACCGGAGAGGGGACAGTAAACTCTTGATGGAAGGAAATGGGCGAAGATACGGAAAGGTGGCCCGATGCGATGCCAGTGACCAGCACCCTTGGTGCCTGGCTGAGCCGGAGTTCATGCTGGTGGTGGACTCGTGACTGAGGCACAGTGATGAATTCTGATCATATGACAGCAGGATTTTGCCAGACCTAAGTACCCTGTGCAAAATCGGCTCCCTAAGCCGGTGTCTGAGTCCTACACATGATTTGTTATATTTTTATGATTAAAATAGCCAGTTCATTCACCGGGTTCGGAAACCTGAAATCACAGAGGATCAGCGTGAATGTTTCCTTTTCACCTCTGCCCTTTACATTCACTCTTGCTCTCCGAGGTCACTCCGCATTGCTAGTTTCTTAGGTATCTTATAGGTACATTTTATAGATATACAAGCCGATGCAGTCAGATTACATACTTCACTTCTGGACCTCCCTTTTCTTCCTTTGAACATGTGCATCCCTGGGCTCTTCGCCTATGGCTGTGTTAAAAGTGTCTTTCCTTCTTAGATGTAAATACTACTAACTTGTGTGGCTGGACCATCTGTACAGATCTTTGGCAGGTCGACAACTAGGTTTGTTTCCAACTCTTGGCTATTACAGATGTTTGATTGGCTAGCCTTGTACACAGTATCTCCCATATCTTTAAGTGAACTAAGGCCCTATATAGGGTATCTGAGTCCAAGGACATGTGAATTGTTGTCTGGAAAGACATCGTCCAACTGCCCCGGACGGAGGCGAGGGCTGTTCACCCTCCCACCGTCACGTACGCAGAAGCCTCTTCCCCATCTTCCTCGGCTCTGTGTGCATTTGTGTCTCCAACAGGCTCGGGAATGCAGTCCCTTGGTAACTTGGGAGCTAAGTTCCCAGAGACTGTGCTGTCTAAATGTCTTGCCACCTCAGCCTGGGAGCCACTCCTGGCTCCCGTACGCTGTCTTGGCAGGGTGACTCAGTGTCTGTACCCCAGTAGTGTCTCATTTGTAAATGGGGACATTGAACATTCTAGCGGGAGCCTCTTGGGCTCTGGTGAGCGGGAGAGTGAAGCATTGTGACAAAGTAGGGAGCCCTTCAGTAAATACCACTTCTTACTAGGGAAGGCTTCAGCTTTCTGTGTAAGCTGCGGCAGAAATAGTGTCGGGAGAGCCAAGGGCCTGGAAAGGGAAAGCAGATCCACTCGCTGATAAGCAGGGCCGGGAGGAGTCAGGGATCCTGGGAGAGGACACACGAGGACTGGGTCAGAGCTACCGGACGCTGCCCAGCACTGCACACGCCAACTCTTTTAAATGGGAGAGCTGCTGTTTTTGTCTGAAACCCCCTGTTTAAAAATCAAAACACCCTTTCATTGTATCTGACAGCTGTTAGGCCTGGCACATGGCGTCTGGCATCCTCTTCTCTGTTTATGTAGTCTTCTCACAGTCCCCTCCTTGGTCGTGTCTCCCCCCCCCCCGCCACTGCTCCTCCCCCCCCATATCTCTGGTCTCTTTTTGTCTTCATGCCACCAACATAAACCCCAGCCTTTACCAAGCCAAGGGAGCCTCTGGCTAAAAGGCCACAATGTCTGTAGCCAGGCAGGGGCTGCTTTAAGAGGCCCAGCCAGGGAGCCTTGGTACTGAACACACCTCCCTCAGATAGGAGCAACTATTTCTTCTCTTTCTCCTCCATACCATCCCCTGTCCTTGTTCATTTGCAGAATAGGAACTGTTCTGGATTGCCCTGCCCTGGGTATTTCTTGGCCTTATGTAACCCCCGGCAGACCTCAGGCAGGCATCAGTGGCAAGCTGCAAATGTTTTCCATGGCAGCTGCCATCCTGGCCCCGTGAGCTGATAATACTGTCCCAGGGGGCAGTTCTTCCCTGGGATTGCCTACCACCTCCTGGGGCAGGAAAGTGTCACCGGGGCCCTAGGTTGGGGCTTTGTGTAGTGTATCTATATTATAAGGAAGATAATTTATCCGGTCTACCAAGGATTCAGCTTTTTGTGGTTGTTGGTTTTGTACAATAGGATCTCAAGTATCTCAGAACGGCCTTGAACTAGCCCAGGATGACCTTGAAGTCATGATCCTTCTGACTGCACCTCTCTAGTGCTGACATTTCAGGCATTTACCAGCACACCCTCTTTGTAAGGTTTCTCCTTTTGATATTGAGACAAGACCCAAGTCAGAGGTGAAGAAGAACTTCAGGACCTGAAGTCCTATTACGTGTGGTGGCTCTGTGGCCAGCACACTCTCAGCAAGAGTGAACCTGTTACCTCCTCCTCACACACAGAGCCAAGTGGGGCTGGGTGTCTTCTACTCAACCTTCGCTGCCTTCTCAGGCCTGGGTGGCTGGCCAGCATGCTGGCGCATGCCGGATAAGCCAGTTCCCAGACAGAGGGAGCTGTTAACCTTTGCCAGTGGGTGGTGGAGCACGGTCCCTGTCACCTGTCACTGATAAGTGAATTTCAAACTCTTGCTGAAAGGAGAGAAATGTGGAACAGATGTAAGGGCCCCCCAGCTGCTGCCAAGCAAATGTGACTGTCTTCAAGGCACCATCTGACCCAGTCCTCGGAGTCTGGATTGTTAGTCTCGGTGCCGGGGGACAGGCAGAGAAGACAGGCAGTTTTAGCCTCTCACTGTCAGCTCTGGGGGTAGATGGGATGGAGGGGGATGTTCAAAAGGTAAGTCTCTCATCAGCAAGGGAGGGGCTGATGTGCCTAGACCTTCTCTCGACCCGCTCTGCGCTTTACTCACAGCGTATAGTGTCTACAGAGAGGATGTGTTGGTTTTAACAATTTACCTGCATTAGTATCCACTTAGATTAAGTCATGGTTTCTGAGGGTATCTGGGCAGGGTTTAGAGCCTGGACCTCACGGGGGATGTGACCAAGGTCTGGGCCAGAGCTGTGTCTCATCAGAGGCTGGATGGGGTAAACAGATTTCTACCTCCCAGCCAGCAAAGGAGCTTGCTCAAGTGCATGGACATGTGTGAGCACTCGGACGCCTGCTCTCTTCGTTCTCACCCTCTCTCCACCCCCCTCCCTTCCTTTACTCTCTTTCTTTCCCTCCCCGCTCCTCTTCAGCTCCGACGGGGTCTTCTGTAATGTTACCTAACCAGGGAGTGACCGCTGCTGCCATATTTCTTTGGATAGAAGCAAATCACAGTTGGATCTGTTAAGGCATTAGCACCAGGAGGCGGGAGGGCTACCTTACAATGCCTCCTCCCTAGAGAGAGGACACTCACCTTATCGTTGATGTTCCTAAAGATCCTCCGGGGCAGCTCAACTTATTATATATGGTCACGTGTGTTTCCTTTGAAATAGGGCGGCTCTTTCGCTTTCATCCCAGAACACTGTTAAGTCCTGGAGTCCTTGGCAGCTCAGTTTCCTGTCTACCACAACTTGAATCCAGCTGTAGCGTCCCTCTATTCTAGCGGTGTGTTTGTCCCCCCAACACACTTAATCTCATCTCCCCATTTGTAAGAATGCATTCCAGTAAGGTTTTCTTGAAACAGTATATAACAATCAGTGTCACTTATTAAATGATAATTTCCAGCCTCCTTCCTTGAGGGCTGGCCATTTGATTTCATTTGTGTCCGGAAATCAACAATCAATCGCTGTCAGTCTTGTTAGTGTGCATTCGAAGCAAAGAAAGGATAATTTTAAAACGGACCCACTTGGTCTTATGCTGCTGGCAGGTGGTTTTGTTGTTGTTGTTTTGTTTTGTTTTTTGTTTTTTTGTTTTGTTTTTTACTCCAAAGGTTGTTTTTATGTGTATCTATGAGTGCCTGCATGTAGGTATGTTGTACCACATGCATGCCTACTACCATGGAGGTCAGAAGAAGACATTAGATCCCCTAGAGGTGGAGGTACAGACAGTTGTGAGCCCTCCTGTGGGTGTTGGGATTTGAACCCAGGTCTCCTACAAGAACAGCAAGTTCTTCTAACTGCTAAGCTTTGTCTCTAGTCCCTTGAGAGCAGTTTTCAGAAGAAGGGAGACTAAAATCTTAGAGGTGTTCATAAAACCATGGCCGTGTTTAAAAAGTACTGATGTTCTAGGTTCAGGGGCTAAGTACTTCTTTTTCTGTTTTCCCCTGGACTAAGACCAACACTAGTGAATCCCCGCTGAGATTAAAGTTCTTATCATAGTTAGGGGAAGCAAATAAGTTGGGCTTTGGGTGCAAAGTGGCCTTGCTGTTATTTCCAGGCACTGAGATAATGAATTCCTGGGGAATAGTAGGCCAGAGTGGACCTTAAAGGATGGGCAACCGTAACCTGCTTTGGTTTCTTTTCCAGGTTTCTCCACGCTGTAGAAGGAACTGGATGATGTAGCCGGCTTTCCAGGAAGACACACATGGTCCTGCGCTGAGCAAGCTCTCTCAGACTCCGTCATTTCAGAGCCACTTGAGGAAAAAGAAAATAATGTGACTGTTCTTATCAAAAAGGATTTTTTGGGAAGTGTGGGATACCTGTGAAGAAGGTCGCCTTTTCCCCATCTGTGAAATAGACATTCTTAGATTCCAAAATGCCCGCCAAGACCCCAATCTACCTGAAAGCGGCCAACAACAAGAAGGGAAAGAAATTTAAGCTGAGGGACATTCTGTCCCCTGATATGATCAGTCCTCCCCTGGGGGACTTTCGTCACACCATTCACATCGGCAAAGAGGGCCAGCATGATGTCTTTGGAGATATTTCCTTCCTTCAAGGAAACTATGAGCTCTTGCCTGGAAGCCAAGAGAAAGCCCACTCCGGCCAGTTCCCTGGGCATAATGACTTCTTCCGGGCCAACAGCACCTCGGACTCGATGTTCACAGAAACGCCCTCCCCAGTGCTCAAAAATGCCATCTCCCTCCCAACTATCGGAGGATCCCAGGCTCTCATGCTGCCCTTATTGTCACCAGTGACATTTAATTCCAAGCAGGAGTCCTTTGGGCGTCCTAAGTTGCCACGGCTCAGCTGTGAGCCTGTCATGGAAGAGAAAGCCCAGGAGAAAAGTAGTCTGTTGGAGAATGGGACAGTCCATCAGGGAGACACCTCGTGGGGCTCCAGTGGTTCTGCATCTCAGTCCAGCCAGGGCAGGGACAGCCACTCCTCCAGCCTGTCTGAACAGTACTCCGACTGGCCTGCAGAGGACATGTTTGAGCATCCTGCCTCCTGCGAGCTCATGAAGTCAAAGACTAAATCAGAGGACTCCCTCTCCGACCTGACAGGCTCCCTGCTCTCCCTGCAGCTGGATCTTGGGCCCTCACTTTTGGATGAGGTCCTGAATGTCATGGATAAAAATAAGTAACCAGGAGTCAGCTCTTTTCCTTTGGAGTAAGAGGTACCAAAATAAGCAGAAAACAAAAAACTCAACTAACCACAATTGATGGAAAGAGCTGCCCTGGCTGGTTTTTTTTTTTTTTCAGCCATGTAATGCATTTTCTAAAATAACGTTCCTGTTCCTACAAAATATTTTTTTAACCGCCATGCCCTGTTTGCAAAAACAATTTTGAAAACAATAATTTTAAAAAATAAAAAAAAAAAAAACCTGTCCTGGCAAAAAGAAAAAGAGAGAAAGGAAGTGAGTCAGAGCTCATTTTCAGCAGGCAATGCTGATGTTCAGCTCAATTTTGTTTGTTTGCAGACGGGCAGAAATCCAGGCTGTCTGTAAGGGCTGGGTCAGTGGGTCTCTCCAAGGCGCTGTACAGCATGTTGTGCGAAGGAAATCTAAACTTGCTTAACACCTAGGCCTTTTTTTCCTGGACTCTTTTGTATATTGTATCTTTTGGGCTCAGCATAGCGAATTCTCCAGTGTTAAGATTTTACTGTTTTCATATTTCAAACAACCTTATGGGACCGGGGGTTTTTTCTTGTGGTTATATATATATATACATATATATATCCCTGTATATTATTTTCATGTTGCGGAAGTTTGACTGTCGGCTACATGTTGGTAAAAAAACAAGCAAGGTATTACTGTAACTAAGTTATTTTTAAAGTTGAAATATATTTTTATGTGCCTTTGGCTTTTTATTGCAGAGTCTACATTTTATAGATAATACATCAAGTGTTATTTGTCTTGTTTCCGTTGGGGCCTCCTGGCAAGCTGTATATGTGTATTTGCCAAAAAAACCCTATTCATTATCAGCTTTTCCCCCCTTGCTCATGTGTTATCATACTTCCAATAGCACCAATAATAGATTGTAAAGTATGGGGGCACAGGGTGCCCACGTTGCTTCTGCAGAGACTGGAGTTGGTATTTTAGGACAGCTCACGCTCGCATTACCTAGGTACGTCATACCACACAATAAAGAGTAAATGCTAAAATGAACTTGCTCATTTATAGTTATAAACAAGAACAGAAATGTAGATTTTCAAGACTAGCTAGCAATGGACCTGAGCCTTTAAAATACGCTGAGAGATGATTCCCGTGTGTTCCGCTGTGTTGACTTCTTGTTAAGGTTTGACGCTAGAAATAGGAACATGAGAAATGAACATGTCAGGTCATTTTTGTTGTCGTTTATATAAACCTTAGTGCTGAGAAAGAGAGAGAGAGGGGTGGGGTGGTGCTGAGGCTGCCAGCCTTTGTCACAGGCCCAGCTGATTTAGCCCCTCCCTGTGTGGGTCTCTCTTCAACACCAGCTACAGCGTGTTCTTACAAACTCAGATGTCCTGAAGACAAAGGCTTGCCGTGCATTCTAAGTCCTATAGACAAGATTAAGGAGGCTCCAGAGGAGCCATCAAGGGCCCGTCCCGTTTCCAAGGATCCCCAGATGCCCCGAGGCCAGTGGTTAAGGAACCAGGAACAGGAAATTACACAGAGATTCCTGTCTTTCTTCAGGCATTCCTTCCTACCCTGAGCATTGGTTGCCAGCCATGAGTGCCAGCTCTCCTTGCTGTATCCCCGAGGCACCTCCTCAGCCACATCAGTGACTCTTTCCTGGAGTTCAGAGTTCCTGGCCTTGTATCAATTTGATGTTTGAAATTCCAAGTGGGGTTCACTGTGGTGGTTAACCAAATAGAGGAGGAAGCTCTTTTCTCCTAGAGCTTTGAGTCTGACCAACAGTTCTCCAGTCTCTTGCCTTCACCTCACTTCTTTCCAGTGCCCCTTCTGTCAGATCATACTCGTTCACGGTTCCGAAACTTCCTAGCCTCTCTGAACCTCCTCAGGGAGGCTAAGTCCCACGAGCTCATTTTTTTTTTTTTTTTTTTGTAGCTGGTGTCAGCCAAACTCTTTCAACACTTTCCCCATCTTAATTACTGATCATATTCAGTCTCACGATCCTCTTTGTCCGCTGCATGATCTCAGGGAGAGGGGGAGAAGTGGGCCTTCACCTCCGTGACTGCCTCTCTGGCGATGGTGGAGAATACTTCTGGCAGGGTTTCGTCTTCTAAGTGCTCATGCATCCCTCATGCGTTTACTCATTTGACTTTTTCCAAACCCAAATACACATTCTCCAAAATACATACTTTCTCTAGACCCAACCACTAAAATGCACACACATGTTCCCGTAGGTGTAATTGACATAGCAACAAATACCAAGGAAACAAAGCCTCTTCTCACGGATTTCTGATGGCCTGGTCTGTTGTCCGGGGAGCAGGTGCCCTGGTGGTGGTGAACTTCTGTTGTACAGGTACTTCAGATTTTAGCTGCTGAGAGCTGATTTGATGTTCTCAAGCTGTGACTCCCCCACTTACAACCTAATTTATCTTCACTTACTTAAAAGCAAGGAAATTCAAATGCCTGTTATTTGTAAGCTAAGGAAGCATGACAAGCCACCTGTGTGTGACCCAACAACCAGTAATCTGTTACAGCATTTGCATAAGTAGGGGCCCTTTCTTTTGGCAAGACTTTGTAGGTAAATGTTTGTTTTCATGGGTGTAAGACCCAACGAAGAACAAATTATATTATTCCAGCCAAAAATTATATGCTAAAATAAAAATATCAGAGTACTTAGCTCTTCATGAATATAAAGTCCTTAATTTCAGTGGTCCAGCATTGCCGTCAACAGGCACATGGAGGACAATTGGGGAGCAGGACAGTGAACCCAGGTTTCCAGGATACAGCCTCAGCCTTTCATACATCACCACCAGTAACACTTCTCTATGAAGGCCACTATAAATGTGTACATCATTGGAATGGCAGAGATCTACGAGTCCATGAATTAGCTTGATGAAAACCCAGAACACATACATTAGGCATAGTTCTAATCCTCCCCTTCATACAGAGGTGGGGGATACTGAGTCCTGTTACTTAGAGCTGCATCAAGAGAAGAGCAAGTCCATACAATGCCCTTCCTGTCTTTGGGAATTATACTGGCAACCTAGCCACAGATAAAAATCCTCCCATTTAGGATTGGTCTCCCAGATTATGAATAGTTAATTTTTTTTTCCCTTTAAACCACTAAAGTATATAAATAGAGCATTGTGTCCTATGTCCTTTATATAAATATAAAACAACTGTCCTGTGTCCCCCACCTGCACTCTTGGGCTAGATCCAGCAAAACAAGAGAACGTTCTAAACGTCACATGGTAAGGCTACCTGGAGACTTGTTCTGCTGGACGAGACTCGAAAACCATAATGTTGAAAAGTAGCCATACACGCCAGCTCATGGTGATAGCCAAACGATATGGTCACTTTGTAAGGGAGAAAAATGGCCACTGCTAAACATGCAAACCCAGTTGTCGAATCTGGTTACCTCAAAGACCACATGCTTTATTTTGAAAATACACAGTTTCATCCAGAGAACTTTTTCATCTGAGAATGTTTAATTTTCACTTTACTCTTCAAGCAAGTAAGTCTAAACGTGTCCTGCGTGAGTTGCTGAGGAGTCATTATTGTAGCATGTTGCTCCAATGACTCTCACATGAGAGGCTGGAAACTCTTACAAAGTGTTGTGTAACGTTGAGATTTGTTCTACAACCAACGTATCATGCTCTCTCCCATATTTACTTTTAAAATTCTGAGAATGATGACACTTTCAGTAGCTTCTGCAGGAAGTCAATCATCTCCATCCTTTGAAGGTCAGCCAGATTTCCCCCATGAGGAGTAAACTGCCACAGGTGATAGAAAACATCTGTCGGAGTTGAAGTCATTGTACAATGTAGACGTCACAATTCTGACACCATGCATCAAAATTAGCAAGGCTGAATAAGTGAATTGGGTACGGTGCTCACCATAATAAAATCACTATCGGGGCAGGTAATAGAGCATGTGATTTGTTGCCAAAAAATTATTGAGAAAAAGGAGCTCTGAGGTTTCTGGAAGGAAATACTGGGGCAGCTTCATGGAAGAGGAGTATCCAAAGAAGTTCCTCAGGAGACTGGTAAGATTCTCTTAGGGAAGAGGGGCAGACTGGAGAAGAAAAAAAGAGAAAACAAAGGATGCACCCCTACCCTTGAATAGGGTTTCTGTTCAGAACATCCTGGGCCCAGGGAGTGGGTCTTAAATGTACCCTTCTGGTCCTGAAGGCTTAGACTCACATGAAGACCCAGCAGGTGAAGAGAACACTTTGGACTCAGAGTGCTAAAGAGCTGGTTCCCAGAATGAATTGTTATCAAAAGTTGGCCACCATCTTGGTTTTTAAAACTCACATGCAGTCTATAGGGCTTGAACTGAAGGCCTTGACCCCAACCAAAACAAAAAACAAAACAACAAAGATACTCTGATAGTCATCAACAATGGGATGTGAACTTGCGTGTTAGATGCCAAGTGTAGGAGGAGCACAGGCCCCTGGCAACTGGATCGAGTCAATGGGAGAAAGAGAGCAGGGCTAGGAGAAACCGTTCATTTAATGCATCATTTTGCCTGGGACCAAAAAAAAAAAAAAAAAAAAAAAAAAAAAAAAAAAAAAAAAAAACAGGAACCAAAGAGTGAGGAGATAAGAGAGTTGTCTGTCACTAAATACGGCTCTCACCAAAGGAGATTTATAAAACTTGTTGTTAGCTGGTCTCCCTCCCTGGTGCTGGAGAAGTACATGCAACTCTTGCAATTAAATCTAATTTCAAATCAACCAAAATAGGTACTACACAGGATTAACACAAGCTCCCCATGAGTGACAGGATTTCCCTCCCGCTACAATCTCAAGCCTTCAAGGCATTATGTCTTTGATGCCAAATGTTGATGTTTCTAAATCACTATCTGAAGACTCTGCCCTACCCACCTTAGCAACAGATACCAAGAAAGGGCTTTCTTTTGGTTTGGTTTGGGTTTTGTTTGTTTTCCCTTGTCAGACTAGCCATTAGGAATGTCCCATAGACACATGAAATTTGGAAAAACCTAAAACCATACTAAATATTGGCATTTTCACATCAGTAATGTCCAGTCATATAATTTTTTTAAGAAAGAAGGGGTATTGTTAAAAGTAGAAGAAAACCGTGATTATCTGCATACCTTTACCCCCACTGCATGGAAATGAAATTGGGATGGGATCAGAAACAAGAAACAAGCATTTATGGTGCTCTGGCAGCAGCTTTTCGCCATAAATGGCCAGAAGAAAGAACAGATGAACACAGTGTTAGATATTAGATTAGCATCCAATAAAACTCTCTCCTCACAGTTTGACCATAGCCCCTGTGACCAAATAAAGCAGTTGTGAAGCCGCGCTCTACAGTAACCCCACTGTGTTCTAAAGGGAGTGAGGTGCTGAGTTTACTGTTATTAAAAATACAACTGGCTCTCTAGACTTCAGAAAGACATTGGATAGCCATCAGCTGCCTCAGGTCAAATGAGAGGAAACCTAACAAGAGTTTTGATAGTAGAACACAGACAAGACCCCTGGAAGTAAAAAGCTGAGGGGAGCAAGACCTTCCCACAGGAGGCTCCACCCCTAGAAAATGTCTAACCAGAGGTCAACAAAGCATCCTCAGTGAAATGACTTCCAAGGGCAGAAGACCCACCTTTCTAACCAGCCAAGAAGTAGAAACATGTAGGCAGTCTCCTGACTCTATACCCTTTCAGCATCATCGGTTTTACCTTTCAAGGGGCAATCCTCAGTTCCCCCACTCAGTCTTGCCCTTCAAACCCAAGGTAA